GCATGGTCCATAACCTGATGAAGGTGCTTGACCCTGGCATATCCCATTGGGATCACTGAGTGCTGGCTTGGCTTGCCCAGGGTGGGTGGTGAAGGCTTTGATTCCACTTGGTGGCTCCCAGGAGGGTGGTAGGGTCCCAGGAGGACAGCTGTGGGGAGGAAAGCCCAGTGCTGATGCTAGGCTGGTTTCTGTCCATGTGTTGGAGAAGACCTCATCGAGTGGTGATGCTGGATTGAGCTCTGCTGCAGGTTACTACTGAAGAGGCCATACTGAGTGCAGATTGTGGTTAGGTGAGCAGCACCCATAAAAACCTCCCTTGCTGGGTTAAGGATGGGGCTGGTGGCTTGTCATCTTCTGAAGAAGCACTAGAGGTTTCTCCCTGCCCAGGACTGCACTGGATGACAGTTACTGGGAGGCAGGTGGCCTGTGTGGCTGGCATGGCTGGGGAGGCCCCAGCTGGGCTGACAGGGCTCCTCCTGGTGAGGTGCCTCCCCACAGCGCCTGGGCAGGGTGATGTCGCCAGGGAAGGGACACACTGTGTCCATACAGCACTGGCACAAAGGATCTGCGGAAAAAGTGCTTGTTGGGCTTTTTCCTCACTTTACATTAAAACTGTTTAAATCTGCTCACTTTGCAATTAACAGTCCTTCCTTCCCTGACATTGGAATGCTCAGAGCAGCCCACAGGATGATGCAGTTGGTGACTGGCTGTGATGTAACACTAGGGATTGCATCACTGATGTGCTCAGGTCTGGTGTTGCCAGTGCAAGGCATGTGGAGCAGCACAAACCATCCTGACATGGCGACAGCTGCTGCAGACCACGTGTGCCGAGAGGCAGTGAAGGGTTATGGGGTGTGTAGTGGGGCCAGCAGCGCTTTGGTTGTGCTGATGCCCCAGGCTGGTGGGGATGGGTCTGGTGATGGCTGCTGAGCGGAGGCTGCCTGATGTCCCCTGCCCTGCTGCCACAGGCAGGGCTCCTGCACATCACGCAGGGTGGTTTTGGTTTTGTGGTATTCATGTGGGTTTTTTTTTTTTAAAGCTGGCTTTTTGGGGCACGTTTTTTTCTTTTTTTCTTTTTCTTTCCAAGACCAGTGACTTGAGCATGAGCAGACTGGCTCCAAAAGGGGTTGGGAAGGAGTGATCTGGGCTTCTCCTTGCCACCCTGCTCCAGTGGCATAGCTTGTGTCCAAGGCTTCTCCATGCTCATGCCACGCAGCAGCTGATGAGTCATGGGGTGATTGCCTGACCTGGTGCTGGTCTCAATTCTGCCCACAGCCCTGCTTGTTTTTGCTTTCCTTCTTGTACCTGGAGCCTCCCTTCACAGCCAGGATTTCTTGCTCTGAGCAAGTTTGAGTGGCTCCAGCTTGCTGGGCCATGTGAATCTAAGGAGGGGGCTCCATCATCACCACCTGTGCTACATTTGCAGCATGGTGCTGTCTGCAGTTGGGGCTGGTACCTGCCAGGGCTGGAGTGATGACTGCCATGGATCCCCAGCACCCTGTAGAGCCTGCTGGGCACGGTGCTGTGTCCTCAGCCCATGCTAGCTTTGGAGGACCCTCCACTGTTGGGGCGGGAGCCACCACTCGTGCAATCTGGAGGAGCTGTGCTGAATGCAGCCAGACTTTGCTGGCCGGGCTGGGGACCAGAGTATAGTGGAGCATGGCATTGCTGTGCGAGATGCTTGCTGGCATGCTGATTCCTGGGATGGCAAGATCATGTCCTGTCTGGGAAAAGTCCTTACTGCTGCTCAGCCAGGCACCAACAGGCTTGGCTGTGGCTGGTGGCAAGTGAGGTGCAAACCTCTCAGCAAAGTGCCCAGGAGATCTTCAAGCCTTCATCGTGGCTGCGCTAAGTGCCGGGTGTGCTGCTCTGGTGGCCCTGGCTTCCCTGCTTGGCTTTCACTTTTTCTTTGGTGCCTCAGGATCTCCTTTTGTGTGTGCAGAGACATGAGGTTTCGCTTTACTTCTCCAACCAGAAACAACACGTGGGAAACAAAAGCTGCAGCCAGAGGGAAGAGGAGCGAAAGGAGCTGAGCCCCACAGGGATGTGATGCTGCTCTGGGACCTGATGGGTGACCTGGGAGTGTCCCCAGTGCTGTCCTTGGCTGGGGCCAGCATCCCACAGGGGCAACCTTCCAGCCCTGCTCTGGGAGTGCAGGCTGCAGATGGGGCCACTGTGGCACAGCAGGCATGGGACACTGTCTGGGTGCTGGGGACCCTGCTCCAGCCCTGCTGGCAGCCCCTGGAGATTCCGGCCTCGGTGCTGAACCATCCCAGCCTGGCTTGTACCTTGGTCTGGAGGAGGAAACCCCCCACAGTGCCTGTCCTGTGAACTGGCTGGGTGCCACCCTGAGGTAGCTCCAGGACCCCTGCTCCCTCACCAAGGGCTCTGTGTACTTTTACATATGTTGGTATTTTCCTACTCAGGTGCCATCTATTCCAGCTGATCTGTGCCTTACTTGTGTGTGATGTATGTGAGGTCATTTAGGCTGGCTTGGGCTTTTATTTCACAGCTGTATGGATTGTGGACTTGCTGCTTTGAATAAAAATTATTCTTCTTAATCTGTGCATTTCTTTAATGGGAGACGAAGGGAAGGTAGCACTGTTGCTCTGCTGAGAGTGCAGATGAAGGACCCAAGCCCTGATAAGGGCTTGGGCTTTTAACTGCCTTGTGCAACCTGCTGCAGGGGGGGGAGGCTAGCATGGCAGCCTGGGTAGGAACCTGGTCCAGCAGTGATGCTCGTGACTTGCTGTGAAGGGAAACCTTGTGCCTGCTGTGCTGTTGGGCTTTGGCACTATCTTTTGCTCTTCTCTAAGCTGTTTCTAGTTTGGTCAAAGCTGTGATAGCTATTGCCCAAGCCATGCTGCCCCCTGTTTCTGCTCCTTTTCACCTCTATCCAGGAAAAGACCTGAGCTCTCCAAGATGATGCTGGGGCAGGGGAATGGTTCAAGGAGGGCTAGACAGATCCTGCAGGTCAATAACCAGCCCTGCTTAACCTCTTTGTTGATGACCTAGATGATGAGGAAGAGTGTACCAGCAGTATACAGAGTTCACTGATGACACTAGACTGGGAGACACACCAGAGGGTCATGCTGCCATCCAGAGGGACCTTGACAGGCTGGAGAAATGGGCTGAAAGCAACCTCATGCAATTCAGCAAGAAGTGTGAAGTCCTGTACCTGGGGAGGAATGGCACCAGGAGGTGCAGGGGACTGTCCAGCTGGAAAGAAGCTTGGCAGAAAAGGACCTGGGAGTCCTGGTGGGTGCCAGGTTGAGCCAGCAACCTGCCCTTGCAGCAAAGAGGATGAATGGTGCTGCACTGGGAGGATTGTTTCCAGCAGGTCGAGGGAGGTGATCCTTCCCCTCTACTCGGCACTGGTGAGGCCACCCCTGGAGTGCTGGGGCCAGTTCTGGGCTCCCCAGTGTGAGAGAGGCGTGGACATACTGGAGAGAGTCCAACAAAGGGCCATGAAGATGATGAAGGGTCTGGAGCATCTCTCCTATGAGGAAAGGCTGGGAGAGCTGGGGCTGTTCAGCCTGGAGAAGGCTCAGGGGCTCTTGGTGCTGCCTGCTGGCAGGACAGCAGACAAGGGGCGCAACCTGAAACATGTGAAAGCCCAGCTGACCGCAAGAAAACACTTTTTTACTATGAGGGTGGTCAAACGCTGGAACAGGTTGCCCAGAGAGGCTGTGGAGTCTCCATCCTTGGCGATATTCAGAACGGGACAACGTCCTGGGTAGCCTGTGCCAGTTGACCCTGTGAGAACAGGGCTTGGACTGGACAATGTCCAGAGGTCCCTGCCCACCTCCATGACTCGGCACAGCACGTCCGTGCTGCTCTCCCCACCCATAGGTGTATCTTTCCACAACCTTGTGCAAGAACTTTTCTCCTTTGCTTGGACTCCTTGAAGTCGGCAGTTTATTTGCAAACATGAACATTAAAACCTGGGTCCTTCTGGAGCAGCGTTCTTCTGCAGCCACCACGTCAGGCACTGTAAAGTGCTTTCATGCCCGTTGCTGCATTACTGTGTATTTACTTTTTAGACACAGGTATTGCCCCGATTTTTAATGCTTGACGGGTGCATGAAACTAAAAGCACGGTGCTGATGGCTTCACATCGCAGGAGGTTACCTCAGGGGAAGGATGGGTTTTGCTGAACGGGGGCACCGTTCCAGCTGTCAGCGATGTCAGTACGTGATATTTGCATTTCCAGGCTAAACAGGGAGGACACCCCAGCCAGCTCTTGCAGTGATTGGTGGGGGTGGCAGCCCCGCTCATCTTTGGTGGCCTCCCTGCCCAACCCTACATCCCACCTGGAAAACGCTAGGTGGAAGCGCTTCTGCTTTCACCCTTCTCCTGCTTTTGTAGTGAGCCCGGTCCCCGAGGATAGTACATACCTAAGGATCACACCCAGAGGCCGCACTGAGCAGAGCCTGCACCCAGCTGCTGCGTTCGCCCCCTCCCTGCCACGGCC